AAAGAAAAGTCATCCTATGACTTTTAGCTGACATTCCTACCAGCTTTCAACTGGACAGCAGAGGAGTGACCTGCATGAAAACTGAAATGGTGTCCATCTACCTAAGTAGAAACCACAGGTGAGGACTGACAACCACAAATTAAGAGAACGAGCAATGTACATGGGTCCAATTTGCTTTCAGCATCAGTGATAAGGAAATCATGGAAGAGCTGGGAATAGTGAACCTAGAAGAACCCGGAGGGGAGCCCACCTGCCAAGGAGAGATAAGCAAGGTGGGCAACCAGCCCTTAGAGTCACTTCCGACCTCCATGCTCACCGTCCAGACCTGCACACATGCACTGCAACCTCGACTTAGGGTCACCCAGGCTGACCACCCAAATCTCTCACCCTCAGCTGCGGAAGAGGGAGGCAGAAGGGGCTATGCCAGGCAACAATTCAGAGAGGGGGGCCCAGGGAATGAAATGCGCAGCCTGGTCCACTCTGTCTCCAGATCTTTGATGAGGCAGCAGGACCTGCAGGGAAAAGCATGGGTCTAGGAGTCAAGAGACCAGAGTCTAGTTTTACTACCTCAAACCTGCTGCCATCAGGCAAAAGGACCACCTGGCCCTTTCCCCACAGCTGCAGAGCACAGATAATAATACCTGCCCTAGAGCCACAGAAGGTTCCAGCTGGGTTGGACCCATCTTATAGGTGAGGCAAGCAAAGTCCCGGGAGATGAAATGACTTTTGTAAGTTTTCACAGCTGGGTGGCAGAGCCACACCTGGCTGCCACATTGCCTCCCAGTTCAGGGCAGTTTCTTCACTGCCACAGAGCTAGAAGAAAGACAATCTGTGTGCAAGTATTTTGGAAAGTTAAGAGCACTAGATAAAGGGAAGCTGTTGTCGGTGCTATTACCTTTCATCAGCACACTTTGGTCCTGTTCTGCTCTAAGGTGAGCATCTCTCATGAGAAAGGGCTCTTGGGAAGTGTCAGCTGTGTCACCAGCACTAGCTGGTCATGCTGCTGTCTGAGGTGACAGAGCCAGGGATGGAAGGAAATTCTTGGCCTCTTCCAGGCCCCAAGGCACCAGAATTGTGACCTGGAAGATAGCATGATTGGCTCCATTCTCCCCTTTGCACTTCCACACTCCAATGGCAACAAGCAATAACGTTTCCTTAGGAGAGGGAATATGCTTGGTGAATAATAATTCCACCATTAATCCATGAGTTGAAAGAAACTCATTTGGCTTTTGCTTCAGAATACCTATTCCAAGCTTTGGTTCACCCAGTTTCTAGACCTTTTGTCCTCTAACCAGTTTAACTAATGTGCAAACATATTCTCAAACAGGCTCCACAACAGATGATTACCAACAGACTGGGGAATGACGCAAATGTAGGCCATCTACATAAGTGAAACAAGTTGAGCCAAAAGGGGTCATTTGTGTGGCTTAAATCATGGAGAGGGGCTATATCCACAGGGCTGAATTAACAGTTGCTGGCTTTAGCAATTTAACCTGGTTCTTTGTTGACCCAAGCATTGGGTGGGTCCAATCCTTTCATTTTAAGAGCTCCCCTCCCCAACACCCAGACCTCCCCTCCAACTCTACACACACACAGATGGCAAAGCCACCACCGCTCATTCCCCACTTCTTTGGTGGTCTCCACTGGGACATAATTCCGATGGCATAATTAGAAGGACACCAGAGAGAATTCTTTTATGAGAAATGAGTCAATAATTTCTTATTTTTCCCCACACTCTCCCAGAGAAAGGGCCTCAAGCAGAGGGAGCTGCAATCTTAGATTAGTGACTACACAACAGCGTGAGTAAGAAGATAGCACGTGGTAAAAGTGAACCCACTGAGCCATTAATCGGAATTCTCCTATCGAGGGGATTTTCCCCCAGCTTAATCCAGGTTTGACGGGTAGGGTGCTCTTCATGACCTCCCTACCTCCTCTAAGCCCCACCAGCCCTTCATTCCCACTAATTCTATGCTTCCTTTTAACAAAAGGCCTGTGCCTGGAAAACCATGCCAGGTCTGTCCCTTGGCGAACATCTTAAACTGCCCATCTCATCACCAACACTTCCACTGTCCACTTCCCTGTGCCCAGTGCCCAACGTCCCCACCACCACAACCAAGCAAGGGGTGAGCCACACACATCAGAAACTTCTTGGTCAGTTTTAACTCAACTGTGTCCTTCAGTGTTTTGTCCCTATTTTATCAACTCTGTCACTGTTAAGAACAGAGAAGAGTCAAAAGCGGACTCATTACTGCTGTGACCATATGATTTGCTGTGCCATCTTGAGTGAGTCATATTCCCCCTAAGTCTGCTTCCTTATTTGTGAGATGAAAGAGTTGAACTAGATGACCTCCATGGTCCTACTGGGCTCTGACTTTCAATAGGTCTACTTATCCTAACCTGCTAAGTGCCCTCATCCCAACCCACTTTCCTCCCACCCCCACTGCAGGTAGGAGGTCAGGGTGCTGGGCCTCTTGTTTTTAGAATCAGCTTCTGGAGGTGAGACTAACACATGTGAGATTTTAGAACTCACCAAACTCTAGCTTTGCAGCTAGCAGGGAATTTAAATAATCCACTGCCCAAATGCCATGCCTTCAGGCAAGAAAGGTAGTATTTTCCCCAAGATGTAGGTAAGAAAACTGTACTCCAGAAAGGCTAAATGACACGCACATGGTTCCCAGCTGTCCTAATAGGTGATACCAAGAGGACTAGAAGCCAAATCTTCAGTTTCCTCACGATGATCTCCCCTAACACCACCACAAAAGGCATTATTTCAGGTGTTAGCCAAAGCTTTAAAAGGAATTACTAAATATAAAATCAAGTGTTTATGGAAGCAAATCATAGCTACAGCCCCTTAATATTCATACTATTATTTGTGATCAACAAATGGTAGTAAGGCTTTGATGCTAAACTCTTCACCAACTAGAAAGCTACAGATAAATCATGTTTTTCGTACCTACAATCTATTTAATGAATCTGGAAATCAGAAGCCATGTCAGGGGTCCTTACAATTAATGACAAAGGAGTTCCAACCCAACATACACAGTGTCTGGGGAGAAGCTCTCTGTTCTGCTAACCTACAAGGTACTTTTAACACATTTACATACGTGTTTATAGCTCTGTCAATGTTTAATAAGAACCCAGGGAAGCCAAAGAACTGTTCTAGATATCTGCAAAATTTCAATGCCATTGCTATAAATAGCAAATGGTTTATTTTAAAAGCTTGCATGGTTTTTTTAAAGTTAAATTTCCTTTCCCATATGTGTGCATAAGAAGCTCTTTTAGTTGAAATAATTCATTTGAATTATCTAAGCCAAAATGATCATATTTTCCTCACTAACTAACATAAAATTTTCTAGAAATGTGTTCACGGAGAAAAATATCATTCCCAACATGTACTAAAATTCACATTTAAAAATCCCAATGTTCACTTTAGGGAGGATTTTCTTCTTGTAAATGATCAGTCTGAACTCATTTAATCCCCCTACAAAATCAACACACACAACCCAGAAAATTATTCCCTGGGACTTTAAAGTATATTAAAACATACCACACAGATAAAAGCAGGGGCTGTTCTAAGTCTAGAGCATCTGAACATCATCTCCTCTTCACTGGAGACAGAAGTGGTAGGTAGTTGGGTTCTCACAAAGGGAGAGGCTGGAGTCCTCGCCCACTGCTGGTACTGATCTGAAGGCAGAGGGGCATTGTTATGCCACCAGCAAGACATAGAGTCACTGGCCTGGTCCTGTTATCCTGGCAGGGAGCTGACTGTTTCTTCCAACTATCTCAAGGCTGAGTCCCACTAGCCCTTCAGCCCTGAGAACGTGTTTTCCCGTAACTCTGCCTCCCGATGGCTTCCTGGATTACCCGCTCAGTTAACAGCCCAGCCAGACTGAGACCTCTGGGACTCTCTGTAATGTGAGGCAAGGAGGGCCCATTGCCATATGAGACTGAAGGTTGACCAGATGAACTGCCTTATCTTAATCCATCTGGAGTGTCAACTAAGGAGTAGGAAAAAGGAAGAAAAATCCCCATAGAACACTTAAACCAGATAAGAATTTGACATTTTCCTTTGCAATGATTTGACATCCTTGCTTTTTCAAAGGGGAAAATCACTTTAACCAGCCCAGCGGCCCAGCCCCTTCCTGCTGCAACAGGTCCCAGGCACCTATTCACTGACTGTTTAAGCGTGTCCTGATTCCAACACATTTACAGGGTATTTATCGTCTTTTAATTCTTTCCATGGCCTGCAGGACTAAGAGTCCAAACAGCGTAATCCAATAACAACCCTACTCCTCTTACCACAAGAGCCTAACTTAACCATAGCCTGACGACCTCCACAAATTTAGGCAAGGAAGAAGCATGGAAAACTGAATGCCACAGGTCACCTCCAAAACTCATTTTAGCAGAGAAACAACTCCTTCTTTTCCAACATTTACCAAAAAAAAAAAAAAAAAAAAAAAAGCAAGCAAGCAAATATGGGGGAAAATAGCGTCTCTGCTGCCAAGAGTTAATTAGCTACGAAACAGCCAGAGGTCAGCAGCAGATGATAGAAAAGTCCCCATAATTATAATAATGAATAGGTAGACATTCAGCAATTGCATACCGAGTGAAAGATTCACCAGCACAGTGACAATGCATGCCTGCTTCTGCAGCCCCACCACCCCCGAGCCAGCGGCTTGCACTCCATGTGGAGTAGGAGGGAAGCCTTTGGTCTCTTCCACATCCATTCACTGACATGCAGGGTGTCCCAGCCTCCAGAGGACAAGAACAGCAGGCGAGGATATTTGTCAAGCATGCTCCCTCTGCTCCGGACATCAGTCATGCTAGTTCCCACCCGTTCAATTACTCTTCTGTTGACCACCCACATTTAATTCAGCTTTAAAGACATGACAACAAGGTCTGAGATTTGAGGGATGTACCTGACTCTCTCTCCCCTCCAGGGGTGGTGGAATCTGATCAGCAAAACCAATCTTCCCTGGATCACCCATAAAGGCACTAACCTCATCCACGTTCTCAAAAGCGTTGATGACATCATAGGGCAAACAGGACAGAAGGTCAATCACAAACCACGTCTTCAGGTAGTTCATGCGGATGAGTTTGGGGTCGGAAATCACCTCCCCCGCTGGTCCAACAAAGGTAGTATGAAAATTCAGCACAATGTCCACCAAGAAGATGACATCCACGATGCTATCCACAACCAGCCAGGCCACGTTGTTCTGCCTGGTTTTAAAGGAGACATTGTAAGGGACCAAGATGGCTGTGTAGAAGGTTAAGATCAAGATGATCCAATCCCACGTGGTCTTAAAAACACAGTAATGTAAGATGATGTGAGGGGGAGTCTTTGGTGCCTCTTGCTTGTATTGGGGAAGGATGTCTGAGCCCAGCTGCAGGACCTGTACAGAAAAACATGGCCAAGAGAACACTGCGTTAGGACTTCATTGCAAGCATCTAACCAGTCAGCATCCATCATTGACAAATACTCATGACACTCCAGATAGATCATTAGGTGCAAGAACAGGTACTGGAGGGGTATGGGAGAATGGAAGTGAACATTATAACAAATAATCATAATGAAACAACGACAAACTATCATTTGGCTTCCTGTGAGCCAAGAATTGTACTAAATACTTCACATATATTTATCATCTCACTTAATTTTAAACACAACCTTGTTTTATTAGCCAATTATTATTCTAGGTGACAAGTGATAAACTGAGGCTCAAGAGAATTAAGCAACTTTTCTCAACAAATATTTATTGCTGTGTGCCAGGAACTGTTATAGACACTGGACATACAGCAAGGAAGAAAATAGCACAATTCCTTCTCTCATGGAGCTGAGCCTAGTAGACAAATCAAGATAATTTCAAATTGTGATAAGAACTAAATAAGAGGCGGGGGAGACGCAGTGATTTGATAGCATGTGACTTGATGAATGGAGGAGGCAGAGTGTTTGAAGGGAAATCTGAATGACAACAAAGAATCAGCCATTCAAACTTGTGTGGAAAAATTATCTGAGGCAGAGAGCATAACTGATGTAATGACCCCCAGGTGGGACAAGCTTGATAATTTCAGGAAAAGAAAGAATTCCAGTGCGACTGAAGCATGCTGAATGAGGGGAAAGGGATGACGATGAGCTCGACGCAGAAGCAGAAACCAGACGAAACAGGATCTAATGGACCCTGAGAAGGTGTTGCATTTTATTCTCAGTATTTCTGAGTATAACAGGAGGGTTTTAAGCAGGAGAATGATAATCTGATATATGTTTTTAAAAGATCACCCTGGCTGCTATATAAATAATGAATTGAGACAAAAGGTTAGAGGGAAGAACAGAATCAGGGAACCTATTATAACAGCCTGGGAAAAAAGATGGTGTGATGGAGAAAAGTAGTCTGTTTTTGGATAAATTTTTGAAGTAAAACCAGCTGGACTTGCTGATAGCTAGAAAGCGAAGAAAAGGAAGCAATGAAAGGTACCCACTACTTTATTCCAAAAACTCAGCACAGTAGCTGGTCCAAAGTAGGCACTACAGGAAGGTTTTTAAGTGACTGACTGAACTCCAAGGTCATACAGTTAGCAAAAGATGGAACCAGGATCCCAAACTAGGTCTAGCTGGATTAAAAACACATGCTGTTCCACATCGAGGTTACATTTTCCTAACTAACATAACAGGTTTTTAAGGAAGCAGACTCAGTGAAAGATGAAGTCCAGAGAAGCTTGGCTCCAAGAAAGTATCACAGATGGGTTTCACCCTCAATAGTCAAAGGCAAAAAGCTATGCTTTCAGAAGACAGGCCAAGTTGGGAGAGACTATCACCCCACCAGCTGCTCCTCTGTGCCACTTACAGGTTCTTATAAATCTCTAGGTGAAACGTCCTCTTGTGTCATGGGAACTTCTTTTTTCCTCCAGAGGTTAAAGACCGCTTAGTGAATATAAAATAACCTGAATAGCCCTGCTCTCCATATGGTTGCCCCAGGCCTTAAAAGGTGAGCAAAAGCAAACTAGAAATCCAGAGTGCCCAGTGTGCATTTTTGGGTATGGGAATGGTTTCCACTCCTCCCACCAATGCACAGGGCTCTTCTAGGCCTGGGATTTTCATTTCTTTCCCCACGAAAAGGAATTTATACGAGGGTGATTAAGAAAGCTTGGGCCCTGAGACCTCAGGCAGGAAAAAGGATTGACCTGTAAGAATAAAGCAAGTAAAATTAAACTGAATAGGACTTCTGCTTCCAGAAAGATGGAGTAGACATACATTTCCCTATTCCTCCCTCTAAATATAACTAATAGCCCTGGACATTATATATAAGGTAAATATAAGAAGACTCTGAAAGGTGGAGATAGGAAAGCAAACTGGCTAGGAACAACACAAGGGTGAGTTCCCCTGGTTTGCGTTTTGCCTCATATATTCCCACACTTGGAGCTGAAGAAGCCAGCAATCTAGAAACATCAATGGGTACAGACAAAAAAGTCTCAACAAAAGCTCGCTCTCTCTAGCAAAGAACTGGGAAACAGGCAGCCTCAAAAGACAGAAAACTTTTAGATAATAACCACTCTACCACAGCCAAACACTGATTCCAAAAGCTGACTGACTTCCAGAAAAGCTGATTCCAAAACTAGACAAAGACAGTATAAAAAAAAAAAAAGAAAACTACAGACCAGTATCTCCCATAAATATAGATGCAAAAATCCTTAACAAATAGTAGCAAATAGAATTCAGCAATAAATAAAAAGAATGACCAAGTAGGGTGCATTCCAAGGGTGGAAGCCTGAGTCAGCATTCCAAAATCAATCAATGTAATTCACCATATTAACAGGCTAAAGAGAAAAATCACATGATCATATCAATGGATGTAGAAAAAGCACTTGACAAAATTCATCACCCATTCATGATAAAAACTCAGAAAAAATAGGAAGAGAGGGGAACTTCTTCAACTTGATAAACAGCATCTACGAAAAACCTACAGCTAACATCGTATTTAACAGTGAAAGACTGAAGGCTTTCCCCCTAAGATCAAGAACAAGGCAAGATATCAGCTTTCACTACTCTTGTTCAACACTGAACTCTTATTCAATAAGGCAAAAAAAATAAAAGAAAAGAACAGGTATGCAGATCATGAAGGAAGAAACAAAACTATCCCTATTTGCAAATGACATAACGGTGTACACAGAACATCCCAAGGAATGTACATATAAACTTATGTATGTCACATAATACAGGATAAATTCACAAAAATCATTGCATTTCTATATACTAGAAATAAACACCAAAATTATACAATACCATTTATAATCACTCAAAAAATACTTAGGTGTAAGTTTAACAAAACATGTACAGGATTTGTATGCTGAAAACAACAAAATACTGATAAAAGTGATCAAAAAAGATATAAATAAATGGAGAGACATACTGTGTTGGTAAATTAAAAGACAATGTACTAAAGATGTCCATTCTCTCCAAACTGATATACAGATTTAGCACAGTTCCTATCAAAATGCCAGCAAGAGTTTTTGTAAATATAAAATATACACAAGATTATTCTAAAATTTATACGGAAAAACAAAGGAACTAGAATAGCTAAAACAATTTTGAATAAGAAGAATAAATAGGAGGAATCAGTCTAGCCAATTTCAAGACTTGATATGTACCTACAGTAATTAAGACTGTGTGGTATTGATAGAATAATAGACTTATAGGTTAATGGAACAGATAGAAAACCCAGAAATAGACCCACACAAATATGCCCAGCTGATTTTTGACAGTGGTACAAAAAGTAATTCAGTGGAGGAAAGGCAGCCTTTTTTAACAAACGGTGCTGGAGCAAAGGACATTCATAGGCAAAAATATAAACCACAATATAAGTCTCACATCTTATATAAAAATGTCAAAAATGGATCTCAGAATGGATTCAAATGGATTACCAATTTAAATGCAAAACGTAAAACCATAAAACTTTTAGAAAAAAACATAGGAGAAAATCTTCAGGGTCTAGGGCTAGGCAAAGTGTTCTTAGACTTGACACCAAAATCACAATCCATAAGAAAAAAAAACTGATAAATTGGACCTCATCAAAATTTAAAACTTTTGCTCTGCAAAAGGCTCTCTTAGGAGGATAAAAAGACAAGCTACGACTCGGAGAAAATATTTGCAAATCACATATGGAATAAAGAAGTAGTATCTAGAATATATAATTTACAACATATAATCTCAAAACTCAACAATAAAAAACAAACAATCCAATCAGAAAATGAGGAAAAAGCACGAATGGACATTTCACTCAAGAAGATATACAGATGGCAAATAAGCACATGAAAAGATGTGCAACGTCATTAGCCATTAGGGAAATGCAAATTAAAACTACAATGAGACGGATGTGATGATGGAAATTAGACTTTTGCTAGTGAACACGATGAAACATATATAGAAGCTGAATTATAATGATATAGACCTGAAATCTATATAATGTTATAAACCAATGTTGCCTCAATTAAAAAAAGAAAACTACAATGAGATATCACTACACACCTATCAGAATGGCTAAAATAAAAAATATGATAACACTAATTGCTGGTAAGAATGCAGATAAACTAGATCACTCATATCTTGCTAGTGGAAATATAAAGTGGAACAGCCACTCCAGAAAAGAGTTTTGCAGTTTATTAAACAACTAAATATGTAACTACCATATGATCCAGCAATTACACTCCTGGGCATTTATCCTAGAAAAATGAAAACATATGTTCACACAAAAACCTGTACATGAGTGTTCAAAGCAACTTTATTCATAATAGCCAAAAACTAGAAACAACCCAGATGTCCTTCAACAGGTGAATGGTTAAACAAACTGTGGTACATCCATACCATAGAATACTACTCAGCAATAAAAAGGTACAAACTACTGATACATGCAATGTGGATGAATCTCCAGAGACTGAAAAAAACCAATCCCCAAAGATAATATACTGCATGACTCCATTTATATATCATCCTTGAAATGACAAAATTATAGAAATAGAGAACAAATTAGTGGTTGCCATGGGTTTAAGGAGGAGGTGAAGGCAGGAAAGAAGTGAGTGTAGCTATAAAAAGGCAACATGAGGAATTCTCGTGGTGATGGAAATGTTCTGTATCTTGACTGTACCAATATCAGCATCTTGGTTGTCATATTGTAGTATAGTTTTGCAGGAAGTTACCATCAGGGGAAACTGAGTAAAGAGCACATGGGATCTCTTTGTATTATTTTTTATAACTGTATATGAATCTAAAAGTTATCTCAGAATAAGAAGTTTAACTTTAAAAAAGTCAACTGAACATGAATTACAAGCATTGTAAAGAAGGCATCCTGGGCATTCAGCTAAGAGAAAGGCAGGGGGAAAGAGAGGTGAGTTACCTAGGGGT